TGCCAACAACAGGATGACAGATAGGCATGATGTGACATGGCTAGTCACTGTGAGAAACCTCGGTGGAGCATCAGCGACTGGGCTGAGTAAAGAGACAGCAGAGACACCTGCTTCGATAGAGGCAGCAGGAGCACACCTCTGCTCCATCATTTGACACCAGGATTCGACACGAGCAACAAGAGTGAGAATGTCCAGAACTGACAGCAAAGAAAAAGAGACAGTCAAAGAAAAAGCTTTATTCAAGTTCACTGGACAGTAGTAAGCCATAAGAAAACAAGAAACACATCCTGGAACAAGACAATTTTTTATCCAGCGCTTGGGATGCAAAACTCTCCATTGCTTCAAATATCAAAAGTAGTCTCATTGCCTATCTGAAAAGTCATAAGTAGAAGGAGAGAGGATGAATACAAAAGCTAGGTAGCACAAACATAACATCAAGTTTGAAATTTAAATGCTGGTAAGTCTCTCTCTTACATATCGGGACAAGTAGATAGGGCAGTATGGGGAAAAAAGCAGGATCTTTGTAGTCAGATAAACTTTTGTTCAAAATCTGCACTGCCACTGTGGGGCATTCTGACCAGTCATTTCTCTGTTCTTCAGTTTCCTCATCTATAAAATGAAGACAGCTTTTTTTTTTTACTTTAAGATTTATGTCAGAGATGAATAGTATATAATAAATAAAAATATATGATAAAAATAGAGGGTGTAATTCTAGGAGAAATATGAAGGTTTAACAAAGAAATCAAGATGGAATTCAGGTAACATCAGGCCACCCTCAATGTCTCTGAGGACATTGTCCCCATTGCTACATGTGTTTTTACATTGTTGGTTGGACTGCCATCATTTCATTGGTAGAGTCACCAAGGTCACCGAGGACCATTTTGTTGTTCACTCAGATGTTCCCTGTGCACAGGTGGCTGACTAAACATATAAATTGCTATTAGAGAATTCACAGGGAAGCTTGCCTCCCTGCCCAGGAAGATCAGTTGTGCCCTCTGACAAAACCAGAGAGAAACCTTCCTTATTTCGCACCATTCTTTTCTTCCTTTGAACTAACAGAGTAACTGGGAAATGTAGTATCAGGTAGCATTTTCAACTTGGTGAGGGAAGAGGAGACTGAGACAGGGCTCCTTATATCAGGACCATTAAAATCTAGGAGAGTTCTGTTGGTTATCAGACTTGCCTGTGAGAGGGTGTGTGTGTGTGGAGATGTGTGTGTTTGAGTGCGTTTGTGTGGAGGGTGAGACTAGGGGTTGAGAAAGGTGGAATATGAGAGTGGGAACAGAAGTACACGAAAACTCACCAACTTAATGTTCCTCAGACTGTGGCTCCCTCAAGGGCCTCTGATAAAGAACTGCCAGAAAAGTAACTATATAATTCTTATGACATATTTTTCCAAATTCTCTAAACATAGGCAGAGGGTGAATACAGGCAGTTTTAAAGTCTGGAATTCAGTTCTTTGTAACTGATTCTGCAGAAAAATATTCAACCATCATTTCTGATATGTTGTGATTTTGAAGGAACATGAAATTAGAATTTTCTGTCTTGGTCACTTTCGCCTTTGAAAGGGCCAGTCGTTACCTCAGTTGAGGAGGCTGTTACTGATTAAGGGACAGAAAAATAAAAGGTGATGGGAAAGACACCACTACCCAGTAATATTCACTAGTGTCATAGAAATCAAATAATATTGATATTATAAATTGCCTGCCATGGAACCTCCCCTTATTCTCCATGTGTTATTTAAGTCATTTTTGCCACTTTTTTTCAGGGATTGGAGGGTGAAGTGTGAGGCATGCAGTATTCACTCTTCTCGAATCTCAACTATCCAGTCCGTGGGCAGCCTCTGTCCCAAATGAAGACTGAATGAGGTTGATTCCAAACATAAGTAAGGTAAAAAAAGTGTCTCAAATATATGTTTTTAGTTCAGTAAATAGGGAGTCGATGAAGGAAAAAACTGAATCTCCATCACTTATCTAGATCCCAAAGTGACAGTGAGAGTAACTAGTTCTGTGTGAGTTAAGTCACCAAGGTCAACTGGTGAATGTTAGTTGAAGGCTGCTTAGGGGAAGAAGCTGTTAAAATTCATTTAATGAAATTGTTTCAAACTTTGATCCAAACTCAAAATAAATAAATAACTCTCAATCTCTCAGTGAAATTTCCCCAATATAACAGAGAATGTTGGTATGATTGCTGGAAAAGGCCAAAATGAAGCAGTCTTGTATGCAAATGACCTGCCGCCACAGGCTCACCTGCATTATTAGAAGCAGGGTTTATTTAACATGCTTCATAAATTAATACACAATGTCACTGAAAGTTAACACATATTATATTAGGCGTTTTTAAAACATTAAATGAATGATCATTCAAATGCTAATATGATTGCATTCATCAGTCTTTCCTACCAATATAGAAGACTAAAAGTTTTGATAGGAGAAGCAGGGAATAATTTTTTTTGAGGAAGATTAGCCCTGAGCTGACATCTGCTGGCAATCCTCCTATTTTTGCTGAGGAAGACTGGCCCTGAGCTAACATCTGTGCCCATCTTCCTCTATATTATATGTGGGACACCTACCACAGCATGGCTTGCCAAGCGGTGCCATGTCCGCACCTGGGATCCAAACTGGTGAACCCTGGGCCACCAAAGCGGAACGTGCACACTTAACCGCTGTGTCACCAGGCTGGCCCCAGCAGGGAATAATTTTTGATCCTAGGAACTTTGTAGGACAGGGAGAGCTGGAGTTGCAATGTCAATAGCCAGTACAAGGATTTAAACTCTCTACAATGGAAGGAGGAAGGAAGGGAGGGAATTAGCAGGGCAGAAAGGACTTGACCTGTCATTTAGTTTGACCTGTCACAGTCTTCTTCTGGCAAGTACATGGCAAGATACTGTCTCTCCAGTAAGCTATCTCTCCCATGAGCTAAGGGAGGGCTTTCTCTGTTCCAAAATCATGTCTGTGAACCCTGAGGCAGTGCACTTTACTAACTCAGCTTACGGTGATGGATGAATCTGACACTTCAGTAGAAGGAAAAGAACATAGAGAAACTGAGTGAACATAGGAAAATCTGAATAGCTACCAATATAGCTGACTGATTGCCAAGGAACAAGCATGGAGTGGTTATCATCCCAAGTCTAAGGTTGCATTTTCATGCTTATCTCGTGTTACCATGTTATTGAGTATGCACGAGAATGAAATATTATCTCCCACTGGTATCCTGAAAGCTCCTTGAGGGAGCAACTTGTTAATGGTTGGATGGCCAACCTCTATTTTATGCTCTTTAGATAATAGATGCTTATTAAATATTTATTTGAATGAATAAATGTAGGTTATTTACTTAAACAATAGGAAAGAAGAGTAACCTAATGGATTTTTGATTCTCTATTCAGAACACACATATTGGGTACAATTGGGACAATTGTTTAAACACGTAAAAAATTAGTTTTCCTCTCATGTAGAAGGGTGTAGTGTTTCCCTGCAAAACCTTGAGTCATGCCTAAACTTGCTTGTTTAACAGTCAATCTCCCTAATAAAGCACAAAGACATATTATTAGCCAACATATTAAGTTATTATTAACTATGATATCCCCAGTGAGAATGCATTTACCAGATCTTCCTTTACAGATGGACACCTGAGAGTAGCTGCTTGAAATATGAATGTCAATGAGGGTAAGTTTTGACATGAAGGAGAGGAGAATTCCCGAGCCCCTATCTAATGGAATTCCTGAGAAAATGTAGAGTACAAGGAAGCTTAAAACTCTGGAAGGTGCTGAAATGGACAGCAATAAATGTTCAGTGAGAAAGACAGGGTCATTTATAATTTGTTTACAAAGATTGGCTCATGTGTGTCCATTGGTTTCTGGACATTGCTTGGGCAAGTTACGTATATCAAAACTCAGAGAACATAAGCAACAGGGTTAGGGAGCTGGCTGGTAAATTAGTGGGGAGAGGTGATTTGAGGAGGGAAAAGCAGAAATCGTTCAAAGAGGTCACTAAGATATAACCTGAGACAGATTCTGAAGGCTGCGTGCTGCGAAGAGCACAGGGTTGATCAGGCTGGCAAAGAAAGTAGATACCAAGGATCATTCTCTCTGGGCTCTGTCCGTGACCCGAAGCACCAAAACAGGATTAAATCTGGGTTATATTAAGGTTCCAGAATAATTTTCTTTATACAACTTCGGGAAACCTTCTGCCTAAGCAGTCCCAAAACTGGCTTAGAAATACTGTCCTTTGCCTAAATATAGGGTGACAAAGTAAAGATACATCTTTTTATCTCCTTATTTAGAGATGATCTGAAGTGCAAAGATCAGGACTAACACTTTTAAATCAATGTGCTGCTGTTAGAATTCAGCATAACAACATAAGAAGATCAACAGAAAACATTAATTAAACATTTGTCCAAACACATAGACTAAACACCAAGAGTGAACCAGAATGTAAACTATAGGCTTTGGGTGAATATGATGCGTCAGAGCAGTTCAGCAACTGTGACAGTTATACCACTCTAGTGGGGAATGTTGACAATGGGGGAGGCTATGCATGTGTGGGAGTAGGAGGGAGAAGGGAAATCTCTGTGCCATCCTCTCAATTTTGCTGTGAAATTGCTCTAAAAAAAGTTTTAACTTAAAAACAAAAAAAGCTAAATACTAATTAACAGATGCATCTTGGTTTTGAAAAGGGAGCATTTCAGTATGGTGTGGAAAAGCAAAGAAAGATAAGGATGAAAGAAAAAACTTCAAAAATGACATAATTTCCTCCAGGATAAGGACAAATAAAATCAACCCCACAAGGCAATATTGTTGAGAAACTGCAAATAAGACATATAATTTATATTTTGTTTTGTTATTTGATATCTTTGAAAATATACTTTCTAATCACAGAAGTACGCATAAGATCTATATTAGATATTTTTGAAAATGTCTCCTAGCAAGATGTCAAAAGTACTGCTATGTTAACAAATTGATTATTAAGTAAAAGAGGAAAGTGCATTTAAGCTGGCTTGCTGGGATGTCTTTGTTCAGGTTCCAGTACTGACTTTTTATGGCACTGCTCTCATCAGGTAGAATCACTCTCGACTTGGAGCAAGGCAAAGATGAAAAATCACACGGCGGTAACAACGTTCATCCTGTTGGGATTGACAGATGATCCAAAACTACAAATTCTGCTTTTTGTATTTTTGTTTCTCACCTACGTGTTGAGTGTGGCTGGAAACCTCATCATTATCACCCTCACACTTTTGGATTCCCATCTTAAAACTCCCATGTATTTTTTCCTCCGAAATTTCTCTTTCTTAGAAGTCTCGTTCACCACTGTCTGTATTCCCAGATTCCTGTATACTATCACAACTGGAGATAATACTATTACCTATAATGCTTGTGTTACTCAATTATTTTTTGTTGTCCTCTTTGGAGCAACAGAATTTTTTCTCCTTGCCGCCATGTCCTACGATCGCTGTGTGGCCATTTGTAAGCCCCTGCATTACACGACCATCATGAACACCAGAGACTGCGCTACACTTGTTCTCTCCTGTTGGTTTGCTGGCCTGTTGATCATCCTCCCACCTCTTGGCCTGGGCCTCCAGCTGGAATTCTGTGACTCTAACATAATCGATCATTTTGTCTGTGATGCATCTCCTGTTTTACAGATAACCTGCTCAGACACAGTGTTAATAGAGAGAGTTATTCTGAGTTTTGCTGTGCTGACACTCATTACTACTTTAGTGTGTGTAGTCCTCTCCTACACATACATCATCAAGACCATTCTAAGATTTCCCTCTGCCCAACAGAGGAAAAAGGCCTTTTCCACCTGTTCTTCCCACGTGATTGTGGTTTCTGTCACCTATGGCACCTGCATCTTTGTCTACATCAAACCCTCAGCAAGGGAAGGAGTGGCCATCAATAAAGTGGTGTCTGTGCTTGCTACTTCAGTCGCCCCTGTGCTTAATCCGTTCATTTATACACTTCGAAACAGGCAAGCGAAAGATGCCTTTAAAGATACAGTAAAAAGAATTGTATTTCTCACAAAGAAGTGAGAGGATATTGATGTTTTTTGAGGCTAAGTTAAATTAAATTTAAATCTGAATAACCCATGGGTGACATTCATGAATTTGCCAAATTAAGTGGTTCCTTTGTATTCTGTAGATTTATTAAATTAATCTTCCCCCAGGAACATTTTCCCCTTATAGTCCAAAAGTCAAATCAAGGTATTTATTTCTCCTTCTTTTAAGTTTATTTTATTCAGAATGATTTCTTTAATTACTGAATCTTCCATACCACATTCCTGGAATGCTCAATGTCATAAAAAAGAAATGCAAATAAAGAAATTTGTGTTTCTGGCCATATGGCCTTGTCATGATGTGGAATATAATTGCCCAGAGACTATTTCTCACTTTTTGGCAATACTTCACTATCCAGCCTACAATTTACAAGGGTAATAAAAGACCCTTCATCAAATCTTACTCAGAGATTTAAATAAGTGTGCACTCCGCTTCTCTTGTTCTCATTTTAGAATGCCCACTTTTCAGGAATGAGTAGAAAGTGTTACTGGGGCAAATCTCACATGAGTGAAGATAACTATATTCTTTCTTTTAAGCCAATTATTACCCACAAAAATATTTCTACAGGCCTTTCTGGAAATTATGTGTGTGTACTGCATCCTGCAATATGATATGATGGCAGAAGAGAAAGAACAAGACTCCCAAGTACTGGGCACCTTCTATTGACATTGCCATTGAGGGTGTTTAGATACAGACTCAAGGAGAACAAGCCCCAAATTTAAGGGCAGGATAACTAAATCTTGGTTAGATAAGTTCTCCAATATCCAGACTTATATTATCTCTTGATTAAGAAAATATTAGAGATTAGGAGTATTGATCAACACATCAAAAAGTTCAGAGCTAGCACTGGTGGCCTAGTGGTAAAGTTCAGCGTGCTCTACTTCGGTGGCTCAGGTTCAGTTCCTGGGTGTGGACCTACACCACTTGTCTGTCAGTGGCCATGTTGTGGTGGCACCTCACATACAAAAAGAGGAGGACTGGCAACAGATGTTAGCTCAGGGAAAAAAAGTTTATAATTTGGGAAGAAGATCCTAAGGGACATTTGGTGGCTTAGCATAGATTGACTACTGAAGATAAAATCCAGGTATAATGTGAAAAAAAATGATAGACTTAGAGAAGAAGGAGAGAGGTGTAAAAACAGGTAACATTCATGCAGGGACCTTGGACCAAATAATTGGAATTCTTTTTATTAAATGGTAAACACAGTCTTTTTATTGCTTTCATGTTCCATGATTGTGAAAGTAAAATTTTATGCTTTCAGAGTACATATGCAACTATTATCTATGTTTACTAAACATCAGCTAATTGCTTAAATGTACTTCCTATTTTGATCATATTTTCAGTCGTTCACACAAGGTCATGGCCATAGTATGAGTATAAACTTCTTTCATACTTCAAAAATATTCAGGGAAAATAGGGTTCTATTCTCCAAAGGCTTTCTTCTTTTTTCATTTAAAATTTCTAAAAAACCAGAGCCCATATTGATATAAATAAGTGAACAAATTAATAGATGAGGGAGAAGAGACAAATCTCCTGTGTAGAAGTATTCCAAATAATTTATGTAGATTCTCTACCCTACAAGAAGGGGAAACTTTACAGTGGAGAAACTGGCAAACACTATCTCAGCCACATGATCCAGGTCAAGATCAAGTCATGTTGATGGTATGTATCCTTGACACGGTGTGATAAAAATGCCACTTTACCTCTTGTTCCCAATAGCATCAGACAACTTCCAATAGTGGGGGCATCCTATAAAATACCCAACCAGTACTTCTCAAAGCTGTCAAAGTCTTCAAATATATGGAAAGTCTGAGAAACTGTCATAGTCAAGAGGAGGCTAAGGATACACGACAATTAAATGTAATGTGGTTCACGAGATGGTATCATGGAATAGAAAAAAGATATTAGCTGAAAACTAAGGAAATCTGAGTAAATTATGGACTTTACTTAATAATAATGTAAAAGTATTGGTTCATTAACTATAACAAATGCATCATACCACTGTAAGATGTTATAAGGGAAACTGAGTGCATGGTATTTGGGAACTGTCTATCCTATCTTCTCAATTTTTCTGTAAATCTAAAACTGTTCTAAAAAAATATAAGGTTTGTTAAAAAATAAATACAATCCTCAAGTTAACTATCTTCTCTATGCTGAGGAAACTCTGGCTACTTAATGATGGATTTGCAAGACAATTTAAAGCTTTCTTTTGCAGACTACTCAATGCAAGGTGCCATTCAACCTCATTGTTCCATCTCTCATTCTTCTCCCTAGCCTGCTGATGACCTGTGTTTGATGCTCCCATTGCAACTTCCTCAACAGTCTCTCTGGGGTGACTTCTCTTCCACATTTCTTTAACTTTTGTTCTTGAAGATAGCAACAACGTTTTTTTCTTAGTCCCTTAGAACCAGGACCCTCAGGGAACATATTGTTTGTCAGTACAATTGATCCCAAAGTGGCTGCTCTGAGGAGAAAAAACATTTTTACTGCTTTGGATATTTAAAAACCTCCTAAAAGCTAATGTGTCTCTTGCTGAGGAAATCACTCTCCTAGGAATAAAAATAGCCCTAGATACTCTCTGGCCTTCAACACATTTTGTTCATACTTTAACAAATACTTGAACGTATGCCCAGCATTTTGATATGCAGTATAGAAAATGCAACAAAGTTAATCTGCCCCAGGGAAACAATACAATATATAAAATATACAACCATAAAAAGTTAACAATACAATAAATTGCACACGGCAACATATATTGAAGTGCCACATAAGTGGCATAGATCATGTGTGCTTTCAATACAGAAGGGAGATCCCTATGGTCAAGTGAAATAATAATAGCATTTACGTTATTTACTATGTGCCAGGTATTGTTCTAAGTAATATGTATGGTAATAATAGACTCAATTAAAAAATCTATATATTGTATATCATCACCAATATATTATTATTATTAATAATATGCTATCATTATTGTTCTTGTATTGCAAATAAAGGAACTGAGACATAGTGCCTAAGACACATGACTAACAGATAGAAAAACGGATAGATTTGAACCCAGGTAATCTGGATCCACAGTCCATTCATATGACCAGAGCACAATACTGCTTCCTATTCTGGCAGGCCCTGTGAAAAGACAGAACTCTCCTTAGACCCAAAAAAGATTTAGAAAGGTGAAAAAGTAAGCAGAGAACATATCTTACAGAAGAGGCGATTTTAGGTGAGATGGCCCTGAAGGAAGAACCAGATGGCAGGTATAATTTCAGTTTAGAAAAAAGAAAACTGGATCAAGACTGTGCTTCAAAACGCTTTGGGTAAATCTTTCTACCTGGGCAAAATGTTTCCCATCCACAATCCAGTAGACTCCACGTCTCCCACAAAGACAAAGCTCTCATAATCCACCCCTTTTCTGCTACAGAGGAGAGAGAAAAGATTTTGGTCTCTCTCACAGTTATCACGTTTGATCTATTAGCAGCATTTGATTCAATAAATCACTCCTTCCCCCTAGGAAGATGCTCTTGCCTAAGTTTTCAGAATACCACATTCTCTGGTTTGCTTTTTTTTTTCTTTTGTTTATCTATTCACCAGTTGATGGACATTAGGATTGTTTTCAATTTTTGGCTATTATGGTTAAAACTGTTATGAACATGTTACCCAAACTGAAGTGCGCTCCCTCCTGGTGAGTTAAATCAGACTCTCCACCAGAAGTAGTTGTCTCACAAAGAAAAGTATATTTGTGGCAAATAAGAGACCATGAGGAAACATTTCCAGAGTCATGGCATCCCCGAACAAAGGGAAGCAGGGACATTTATTTTGGATGGGGAATGAATATTCAAAAGGGAGAGGTGGGTATTTGCTTGTGCAGGTTCAAATGAAAAACATGCTTCCACATACACTGCAGCTTACTTAATAAGGCCCAAGCTTCTCCTGGAGAGATCTTAGCATTAAAAAAAGGCAAAGGTGATAGGTGCAGCTCTCTGCTCAGGCTTGGTCTGGTTCAGGGTGGTTGGTGATTGCATCTCCTTAACATAACAAAAGGAAAAAGAACAATTCGGAAAAACAGCAAAATATCCAAATCCACCTTTGAGTTCCTGGGGTAACAGTTGGTGATAAACACTTGTATATGAGTCTTTCGTAGACACATGGTTCATCTATCTGGGATCAACACTTAGGGGTGAGATTGCTAGGTCATGTGGTAAATTTATGTTTAACATTATAAGACACTTGGAAAGGAAGAAGTGAAACAATCACTATTTGCAGATGACGTGATTTTATATGTAGAAAACCCTAAAGAATCCACCAAAAAACTTTTAGAAATGATAAACGAATGTGGTAAAGTTGCAGGATACAAAATCAACACACAAAAATCAGTTGTGTTTCTATACACTAACAACAAAGTAGCAGAAAGAGAAATTAAGAATACAATCCCATTCACAAGTGCAATAAAAAGAATAAAATACCTAGGAATAAACTTAACCAAAGACGTGAAAAATCTGTACTCTGAAAACTGTAAAACGTTGTTGAAAGAAATTGAAAAAGACGCAAAGAAAGGGAAAGATATTCTGTGCTCTTGGACTGGAAAAATTAACATAGTTAAAATGTTCATACTTCCTAAAGCAATCTACAGATTCAATGCAATCCCCATCAAAGTTTCAAGGACACTTTTCACAGAAATAGTACAAAGAATCCTAAAATTTACGTGGAACAACAAAAGACCCTGAATAGCCAAAGGATTCCTGAGAAAAAAGAATAAAGCTGGAGATAGCACACTCCCTGATTTTCAAATATACTACAAGGCTATAGTAACCAAAACAGCATGGTACTGGCACAAAAACAGACACGCAGATAAATGGAACAGAATCAAGAGCCCAGAAAGAAACCCACACCCCTATGGACAGCTAATTTTTGACAAGCGAGCCAAGAATGTACAATGGAGACAGGAAAGTCTCTTCAATAAATGGTGTTGGGATAACTGGACA